CATTGTGGAAGAAATAATATCGTCCCCCCCCCCAAAAAAAGACATTCTTCCCAAGTCCTTCAAGCTACATACACTACTTCCTAAGTATGAGACCAATCAAAATGTACTCAAATATAATAAAACAATGAGCTACAAAGCTGGGCTGCAAAGCTAAGGAAACAGGCTAAGTCATCATCCTTACAGAGTCAATAACCTAGAAACAGCATAGGACAGCTAGCTGGAAAGTGGCTGAGACTGCTCCACAGCCCTGAGACCTCCCGCTAGACCAGTGGTTCTCCAAGTGCTGTCCCAGAGCCACCGCACCTGGGAACTTGTTAGAAATGTACAGCCTTGGGCCCCAACTCTGGGCAATGTTTTAACACGCCCTCCAGAGGATTCTGATGTCCTCTTACACTTGAGACCCACAGGACTAGGTTCTTCTCAGGCTAAAGAGTTTGGGCAGCAAAACCACTCAACTCCATCCTGGGACTAGACACCTTCTCACTGGGAGATCCTGATGGACCCTTCTGAAGGACAGAAACAGATCAGACTACACCATTCATTCCACAAACATTTATTAATCATTAGGCCCAAAGAAGACATTCACCAAGGTATGATGACCTTGTCATGGACTAGCTGGCCGTGAGGCTCAGTGGCATCTGGAGGCAGGAGGGCCAAGTACACAGGGGTGTCAGCCCCCTCCTCCAGAGTCCTGCTGCCGGAATCCCCAGCCATGTCTGTCTTCACCCAGCCGGGACAGCACGCATTGAGCAGAATCCTGTCGGCCTTTCTCTTCTCATCCAGACGCCGGGCCAGGATTCTCGATAAGGCTGTGACCCCCAGCTTGGACACCCCATACGCCGAGTTAGGCCAGCCTTCCCTCTCATGCACTTCATTTTTTGTATCCTCCACAAACTTTTTCATGAGGTCCACGAGGTCCTCCTCTGTGAGTGTTTCACATCGAAACTTCTCCTGCAGATTTTCACTGCAGTTTTCAAGAGCTTTTGTACCCTGGCGACTACTGATATTCACCACTCTGCCTGAAACAGAATAATAAAAAATATGGAAGCATGTGACAAATAAACAATCGTTGGCTGACTCTACCAAATACGTGATTGAGTCATGGTGCGGGTTTAATTGCTGATTGAAAAAAAAAGACTCTAGGAGGCACCACTGAGGTTTACCATTTTAGGTGAGGAGATCAATAGTAGAATCACCAGGTAGGTTATAAAACACCCCCCTACACACACACACACACACACACACACACACACACACACACACACACACACACATTCCAGGCGCTCCTGAGCCTGCTTTCCTAGGGACAGAGCCCTCGCCTGAGGATGTAAGCTCTCTAATTGTTTGCACAATTTCCTAGGGCCAGAAGTGGCCAACTCTTTATCCCTGACTGTCAAATCAGGGTCAAGTTATGCCTTGGGGAATGACCCTTGTCTGTCCTTCGTGATGGATACTTCCTTCCACACATGCTCCATGCTGGTTTTGATTTTCCTTACTTTTTAAAGCAATCATTAATACATGGTTCAATATTATTTAATGAGTTATTATTCACATTAATAATAACTCACAGCTACTAAAGAGACAATATTGTCCATAAACACAAATATGCAGGCCAAACTATAAAACAATTTGAAGCATTGATGGAAACCCAAAATCCAATAAACGTGTGAATTCGGGCTGGCTGAGTGACATGTTGGTTAGGAGTTGGCTTGGGATGCCAGCTCTGAGCAGCAGGGCCCTGGTTCAGATCCCACATGGGCCAGTGATGCTGTGCTCTCTACAGCTAAGATGGTGAACAACAGCTCGACCTGGAGCTGGGCTGCCGTGAGTCGCCGGCAACGGCGCAGGTGGCAGTGGGGCTGCAGTGGGGCTGGCCAGCAGTGGGTGTGAGCTTTTGTGAGCTGCTGTGAGCCTCCATGAGCGGCTGTCCAATGACCAGTGAGCAACTGCCTCACCCGGGAAGAGCGCAATGATAATACCAACATGGGCCAGTGAAGCGACGTCCTCCACAACTAGACTGAAGAACAAAAGGACAGCAACTTGTCTGTTCCCCTTCCCTGATTCCCCAATGCTGTTCCCTCCCCCAATTCCCCAATAAAATCTTTAAAAAACATAAAAATTAAAAAAAAAAATAAAATAAACGTGTGAATTTATACATTTCATCCAATATTGAAAAATAATTTGGGGCATTCTTTTCTTACATATTATTCTGAATCCACAACCTTTGCATCCACTAGGATAACTGGATTTTATTTCTTATTCTGAGTGGCACTCACCTCAGGTACACAGTGGAGCACATCCTTGTGGGCCCAGTCCCGTAGGAAGGTCCCCTCACTCTGTTGCTGAATGAGAGCACCTCATTGATCCCCCAGGTACCTAAGACTCTTTAGTATTTTCTTTCTTTCCTTGCCCCCCTCTCTCTCTCTCTGGTAATACATGCCTGACAATTAAGTTTGCAAACTCATCCTAGAAAAAGTGCTACATACCCCATTGCTGAATGTCACTACAGTCACCTTTGAAGTACTCCTCTTGGGAAACTATGAACCGATGCCAGTGCCTACTTCAAAGCAATTTGGAACTCTTTTTCTGGAATGGCCATCAGAGCTGTCATCATATTACCCTTGATGTCCTGAATGTCATCAAAATGTCTTCCTTTCAATATTTACTTTATCTTCTGGTAAAGAAAGAAGTCATTGGGGGCCAGATCAGGTGAGTAGGGAGGGTGTTCCAATACAGTGATTTGTTTACTGGCTAAAAACTCCCTCACAGGCAGTGCCGTGTGAGCCGGTGCATTGTCGTGATGCAAGAGCCATGAATTGTTGGCAAAAAGTTCAGGTTGTCTTTTTCACATAGCCTTTTCAGCACTTCCAAATAGTAAACTTGGTAAACTGTCCAGTTAGTAAAAATTCATAATGAATAATCCCTCTGATATAAGAAAAAGTAAGCAACATCAGTGCAAAAAGTTTGCGAACTTAATTGTCAGACCTTGTACATACCCTACCCAATTTGAACTTTTATTTGAAACCTACAGAGAAGTTGCAAGAATAGGTCAATAAACACCCATATACCCTTCACCTAAGTTCACCAATTGTTAACATTTTGTCACATTTGTTTGTTTTCATCCACAGTCCAATGTGGGATCATGGATTGCACTTAATTGTCATAGCTCTTTATTCTAATCTAAAGTAGTTGACAATGACCTTTTTGAAGACTCTAGGCCATTATTTTGCAGCATTTCCCCCAGTTTGGCTTGGCTTGATTTTTCTCATGATTAGATCTACTTCAATATTTTGACCAGGAGTACTGCTTCAGCAATTTGTGTTCTGCATTACTTTCTAAACAGTTTTGTTCTCAATCACTTGGCTGCTACAAGGAATTAAATATAAAAGGGAAAGGAAGATAGAAAAGAAAAACAAATGATAGGAGCTATCCTGTGCCTTTCATGGAAATAAGACTTCCTAAAAGAAGTGTTCTCTTTGATCTGAGGGCACACCTCTGGCAGGGGACAAGTGGTGACAGTCTCAACAGCCAGATGGGCTCAATCAGCCCTGAGAAAGGCTGTGCCCACACCACCCTTCCCCCTCTGCTGAGGTTCAGAAACACCCGCCCTGTTTTAGAAAGAGTGGGCAAGAAGCATCTCCTAGGGACTAACAGCTGATTAACCTGTTTACTCAGAACCTCAAATAAGCAAGCTGAATAACTTTCTTTAAAGTGGTAATATAAACATAAATAAAGAGTGGCTTTTACATCAGGAGAAAGCAATTCTCTACAAATCAAGAGGCAAGGATGCTCAGCGTTTTGTCCTCCAGGTAAACGTGAGGTATATGGAAAAGTCTCAAATATTCTCAATAGGTCATAAAGCAAAGATTCCTGCTTTGGGAAATACCATTACAGAATGAAATAAAGACACTGATGCACTTGTTCTGGGCTAACCCTGAGCCCTACCTGCCGCAGAGCTTTCTTTTAACCTTCAAAGTGACTTGGTTTGCAATCATTTGGCGCTCTAATCCTTACTTCACTAGACTTATCCTGATTTGATTGAATGATGAAGTCAGGAAACCTGGATACTGTTTCCAGCTCTATTACTACTTGGCTGTGCTCACTTCTCTGGGCCTCAGTTTCCTTCTCTGTGAAGTGAAGGTGTAGCAATGTAAGGTTTCTTCAACATCTTGCAGCTTTCAAATTCTGTGATTTTAAAATCTGTATGGAGAAGATTTCCTGTTATTTGGTGAGAGATACCGCCTACAGTGAAATACTATGCAGCTATGAAAAAGAACAGGAATGTTTTCTGTCCTGATCTGGAAAGAGCCCCAGAGTACATGAAGAAAACAAGGTAGCAAACATTATACTTAATGTCCCCTTTTGTATAAAAAAGGGAGCAAAAAATATGCATTTAAATTTGCTTAAATTTGCATATAAAACCATCTCTTGGTTCTGGGCACTCACCAACTCCATGAACCTGGACCCTAGGCTTCCTTCAACCAGTACCTGCAACTCTACCTGTGGGTTTTCCATGATCCTATCCCACTAAGAAAGCAATAAAGAGAGCAGGCCGAGTGGCGCGTTGGTTAAGAGCTGGCTTGGGATGCCAGAGGGCCCCGGTTCGGATCCCACATATGAGGGCCAGTGACACTGCCCCCTACAGCTAAGATGCGGAACAACAGCTCAACCTGGAGCTGGGCTGCTGTGAGTCGCTGGCAACGGTGTAGGCT